GATGCAGTCACCCACAAACCCGACGGGCCATTTATCAAACGAGAGTGGTAGCGGCGGCAGGCGGTTCCAAGAAAGTACAACAAAAGATAAAGAAATCCCCTATTTTCCCGCACCAGACTAAAGGAACTCACCGTCGGCCAACGACAGGGCGGAAGAGAAACAACGAAAATTCGAGAAGCGTGTACCACATTCCAGGTCGAATCAGAAGAAGCAAAAACAAGCTTGCGCAGCAGCTTCCTTTCCTATTGCACCACATACACACGCGAACATACAGGCAGCAAGCACCAAATGACAACAACCAAGCAAAAAGTGCAAGAAAGCGGCAGCAGTGGGTTTGATATGTGGTACGGGAGGGAGCAATGTTCCCCTGTGCCTTTCCCGTGAGTCACACCCCAGTCTTTCCCGATATCGCCGAAGGTACGGGAGATTCCCGGTCGCTTTATCAACGGTTCTCGTCCTGATTATGATTCTCCTAGATATATTATCGATTGTATCTCTATACATTCACGCTTGTGGATCAAAGGTTTCTTCTGTGTCTCTCTGCTCCTATGACAACATTTTCTTCCCTAATATGTTGCTTTAATTGTTGGTTCCTTCACGCGTATCACCGGAGTGCAGTGCCGGTGCTCACGATGGTATCGACGCAACGGATGGGTGGAAGGCGGTTCTCGTCGGTTTCGGGGAGGGTAAGGGGGAAGGAAACCGCGCGGCGCCGGCGATTTATCATCGCTGAAGACAAATGTTCTCTGTGTCTTAATAGGACTTGATTAAGCGAGCTCGGTTGGAAACACCTTTCTACTTTTTCTCTCTCTGTATGTGAGCCAAGAGTAGCCATGGTGGTCATGGTGGCAGCAGGTGGACGGGCAAAATAGCTCATCCCCTGAACCGAGGCTTTTATGAATTACGTGAAGCCTGGTTAAACAGTTTGATGGGGCCTGCGCGTGTCCGACAAAATGTATAAAAGATGTCGACTACCGGGGAATTTCAGGTGATTAACCTTTTATAGTTACTAGCTCATTGTCGGTTGTAACGTCTATTCGAATTATTGGGTCCAAATATAATGCGGTCATTGAACATATTTTACATGTCAGCACCTTTTTTGGTTTAATCACCTCAGTGCGTAGGCGCGCATAAACTGTAGGAACCTCTGGTGGTCGTCAATGGTCACGTTCAAGCAAACTTTTATTTACACTATCTACAAGCTGTAAGCGATGTAATCTGACGTGTCGTTCCCATGTTGATTCGACGCACGTGCTCTCAATCCTCTCATTTTCACTTCGTCGTCTTCGATCTCCTCGCGCCAGGGATATGGCTTATTATGAACCACATAAACGTTTCAACACACGCCCCAACGAATGGATGGGAATCCATTCTAAACTTCCGTTAACTCCAACGGATACTCAAGCTGCACTGGCCTTCGCAAAATAGTGCCCCGATGCACTGGAATCTCACACGACCGGATCCGGGAATCTCGGCCGTGAAACACTCTTTCTACGCGCCCGAGCTTCCATAGCAGGCGTGGAAGCGGCTCTTTGAACAGAGAATTTTGACCCTCTCTGATGGGCGCAGACTGCCTCTTCTGAATGGCGTATGCTGATCTGAGTTCTCGAAGATACTCTTTCCTCCATGTTCCCCAAATCGGTTAAGCAGTTGTTTTCGCTGCCGCCAGAGCACGCGAAGTGCCTCCGGTGTGGAAGCGCGCGTGTCCCCACCCGTCGGCGGAAGTGTCGTCAGCCACCTTCCAACTAGGAACTGGCCGGCGTGAGCGGGGTCCCCTCTCCGACCCCGTCGTCCACAAACGTTAATGGCCGCGAATTCAACACGGCCTCTACCTCAATCAGAACGGTGGTCAATTCATCTGTGTCCAGACAGTTCCTTCCGATAACCTTTCTTAAAGACACCTTTACCGAGCGCACAAGCCTCTCGTAAAATCCTCCCCACCATGGGGCTCTCTCGACAATAAACCTTCACTGGATACCCGCGTTCGCAAAGTGATTGACCACGTCCGGGTGACGCACCGTCTTACACAGTTCCGTGAGTTCCTTTGACGCTCGTTTGAAAGTTCACGCATTGTCGGAATAAATTACGCGGCACAGCCCTCGGCGTGACACAAATTGACGGAAGGCAAAGAGAAAGCTTCGGGTCGACAGGTCTGGAACCAACTCCAGGTGTACAGCCCGCGTGACTGCAGAGGTGAACAGCACCATGTAGGACTTGCATGTGAGGTCCTTGCCCTTGACATAGAGGCGGCCCGCAAAGTCCGTGCCGACTACCTCGAAAGGGTCCGCTCGAGTTGTCCGGGCAACCGGCAAGGGTCCCGTAGGGACACTCGCGGAGGTCGCGCTAAAGCGCTGACAGGTCAGCAGGCACGCACCACTTTTTTCACCAGCTCTCGACCCCGCAGAATTCAAAACTGGTTACGGAGCTGCACGAGAGTATTTCTGACTCCCGCGTGCAGCAGCTGTCGGTGCGCGTCGATTGCCAGCAAGGTTGAATATCGATGGTGCTTGTGCAGGACGATCGGGTTTCGTTCGTCATACGTCATTTTGACGGACTGGAGGCGACTTCGAATGCGAAGTTGCTCCCTGCTGATCGATGAAAGTGGCGAAGTCTTGGAGGGGAGAGCCCGGCGGGGTCTTCGTAGCATTGGTCGCGCAGCGAAGCTCGGTAGCGAACGCCGAGCGCTGCGCATCTTTTATCTAGTGAGTTCGCGCTGCCTCGATCTCCTCGGCTGTCAGTGGTCCCGTTCGTCTTTCAGTTGACCGGACGTTGTGGAAGAATCGAAAAATCCAAGCTGTTGTTCTGTTGATATTTGAAGCAGAGCTGAATCGTGAGATATCGATCAACTCCGAAATGGGCGTTACTGTGACTTCAAACACTTCTGCTCTCGATCTTCTCTCCTCGAGGGCGTCTCGAGGGAAGTCTCCGCACATTTCCTTGGGCCATTCTGTCACTGGCAGTGGCAACCTACTCGGCCCCGACCACCACAGTGAACTGGAGACCAACTGGGATGCAATCAGACCTCGTGTCATGAGGTCAGCGGGATTTTCTTTTTCCGTGCAGTGGTGCCACGTCGCGCCTTCGCAATTGCTCTGGATCCCTTGCACTCGATTCCTGACGAACAGCTTCCATCGGGAGGCCCCTCCCCTCATCCAGTAAAGCGTGATCATTGAATCCGTCCAGAAGTGAACGTCCTTCACCTCAAGCTCAAGGCAGGTTTGAACGTATTTGGACAACCTTGAGGCGATCAAGCTGGCCATCAGTTCCAGTCTCGCCACCGTGACAGTTTCGAGGGGTGCAAATCGTCCTTTTGCAAGCAATAACGTCGTCGTCGTCGCTCCTGTGTCGTCGGTAGTGCGAAGGTAGGCCATGGCTCCGTAGGCAGCGGTGCTGGCGTCGGCGAAGATATGCAGTCATCGGTGGGTCACCTTGCCGTGCAATCCATCGTCGCAAAACCTTGGGATCTCGACCCTTTCTAGCTCGACAAGTTCGCTGCACCACCCGGTCCACTCGTCTTGCAGGTGATCTGGTAGCACATCGTCCCAGTCCAGGTTTAGTTTGCAGATTTCCTGGACCAGGATCTTGGCTCTCACGACGAAGGGTGCCAAGAATCCCAGAGGGTCGTAAAGGCGAGCTGTCGTTTGCAGCACGAAGCGCTTCGTATTTTCTTGGTGGCGAGCAGTATCCATCACGTGCTCCGGCGAAAACATGAGACTGCCCTCTTTGGGTTCCCAAGTCACTCCGAGCACCTCGAGCACGTTCGCGACTTGTCCGAGTGGTTTTTGGCCTGCGCCGTCCTCCTCGAACACCTCCGCTAGTGATGCGTTATTTGAACCCCACATGTGGAGTCTCATACCGACCTGCCTAAACACCTCGTTCGCCTCGGCGTACAACTTCTTAGCCTCGTCTTCGTTGCTCGCTACGGTCAACAGGTCATCAACATACACGGACTTGCTTAATTGTTCGGCCGTTGTTGGGTATGTGTTCTCCATCGCCGCGAACTGGTGCCGCAGGGTAGCCGCCAAAAAGAACGGGCTTGGCGTTGCACCGAAAGTCACCCTTGTCATTCGCCAGGTCTCTACCTCTGGTACCAGCTGATTTTGGATCGGCGGTTGCTTGTACCAGAGGAACACCAGTGCGTCACAATCCTCCGCCTTGACTTCGATCTGCAGGAAAGCCTTCTCCACATCCGCCAGTAACGCTACTGGATGCGTCCTAAACCTCAGAAGTAGGGCGACGAGATCTGGATTCATTTTTGGTCCACCCTCCAAGTTTTCGTTCAGGTATTTACAGTTTGCGCCGTGAGAGGAAGCGTCAAACACAATCCTAAGTTTGGTGGTGCTGCGCTTCTCGCGGATAACAGCCTGGTGGGGCATGTAATACACCCTTGCTGTACCTTCGTTCTCTGTTTCTTCATCGACCCTCTCCGCTATGTAGTTGTCTTGGTATTGCCGAATCGCTTCGTCATACTTCTGTACGAGATCGGGATTTTGGTCAACTTCTTACGTAGATTCTCCAACCTCCTTCTCGCCACCTCCATGTTGTCTGCCAGCCTTACGTCCGATTTCCATGGAAGGTCCACTTCGTGTCTACCCGCGGTCTTCGCAATTTTTGGCTTCGAACTCTCGTCTCACGGTGCTGTCCGAGGGATCCTCTACTGGCGGGTCGGTAACTCCCACGCTTTCTAGCTCCCAGAAATGTCGGAGAACCGATGTGATTTCTAGAGCCTGCAGGGTTGCTATTAGCACGGTCGCCTGGGAGCAACTCACGATGATCGATTCCGCGCCTGCCCGTCCCTGGACCGCCCAACCGAATGCAGTTTCTACGGCAGTCAGGCATCTGCTCAGTCGGTGAATTCTTCCTGTGATGCACCCCCGGTAGTGGTCTGATCCCAGCAATATGTCTACGCCACGTTATTCCAGTCCGGTCATGTTGTCTCCCACGGGACAGCCAAGTTCCTCTAATGTTGCCACAATGGCTTCATCTGGGCTCGGAAGGTCCTAATCACATATGGTAGGTGTATCGAGAGCGTCGATGTCATATCTTTTGTTGTAGAGTTGGTCTCGCAAAGTTACTTGAACCCTGCGAAACGTACGCTCAGTGCTTTCGCCCCTGAACACGCCTATTGTGAGGATCTCTGTCCCGAGCAATTTGCAGTCCAGTCGCTGAGACAGTTCTTCAGTTATGAAGGAGCGCTGACTGCCGCTGTCGAAGATAATATGGGCAAGCTTTCTTCTGTTTGTACCTTCTGCCCACGTAGTAACCGTTTGTAGGAGCACTGCCGGATTGCTGTTCCTACCATGTACATGCATAGCGACCGGTGCTGGTTCCTTCGGTTCCGTCTCATTCGATCTGGTGGACGTTTTTCCCGGCGCGTAATTTGGGTCGCACATGGTGCACGCGTGCCTGCCTTGACATTTGCCGCAGCTGGGTGCTCCTCGACATAATCTTGCCATGTGATTGGCCTTCGTGCAGCGGAAGCACCTCCAGTCTGCTTGCAACCTACGCTTCTTCTCCGCTAGCCCGATTCTTGCGTTACATTCCGGTGTTCCGTGCGCTTTTGATTTGCAAAGGAAGCACTCTAAGCCGTCCACGCTGCCGTGCAGTGCCGCCGCGGTAGAGCTGCGAGTCTGAGCGTTGATCGTTGACCTCTTCACAGAGTCATGCGTCAGAGAAGGAGGTCTGGGCTTACCGACGAAGTCTTCCAGCTGGCGTTTTGGTGTCCTTTCGCGGCTCTCCACCTCGATGCGTAGAAAGTCGAGGAGAAACCGCAGAGCCCTCAGGTGGACTTGCTGTGTGGCGGATTCCAAACTGGCGTCCGTCATTGATACCCTTGCGGCATTGGCATTCCCCGACTCCTCCGCCGACATCTTCCGGTTGAAATCGAGAGTGACATCTTTCGGTAGCACACGCGAAAGAACTGTGTAGAGCATAGCCCCATACGCCTCTTCGCCCACCCCTAACGCTCTAAGGCCTCCGAAGTGCGCCTGTAGAGTGTCGTATAAACGCCGTAGGGCTCGGGTGTTCCGTTGTGATGGCACTGGCTGTATGTCCATGAGACCTTCCATGTGGCGCTGGATAAGCGTCTCTTGCTTCCCGAACCGCTGCTGCAGGAGCTCGACGGCGTCCGCGTAACACTCAGCGGTCGGCTGCAATCCACCGATGGCGGCTGCTCCATCGCCGGTCAGCGCTGATCGCAGATAGTTGAACTTTTCTAATGGCGTGAGTTCCGGATTTTGATGAATGGCGGTATCGACTTGCTGCCAGAAGGGTTGTCAGTCCTTTAGGTGCCCGTTGAATTATATTTGTTTCAATTTTGGGAGTTTGATTTTCGATGTCACAGAGGATCCTCCGTTCCGATCTCCGTTTCATGTCCCCTTGCTGGGTGGCTGCCCTCCGCGCTCTTCATCTTTTTTTTTTGAGTCTGGTGAGGTACGTGACGATCTTGTCCGAATACTCGATCGCATGAGTGAACTCTGCTTCTGCATCTTGCCCCGTAATCAGAGGTTCGATCGCTGCGTCCACGTCATTCAGTTGGTCGCGGGCCAGATGAGTACGCTCGATTAGAACCTCGAGGTCGTGGACGCTTGGCGTAGCTAAGAATAGTAACGCATCGGCCTCACCAACTAGTCGTGCCACTTGCATCCGATGCGTCTTCCGTTTCTTCTTGAGGACGTCCATGATCGTTGATCGTTCTGGCTTGGCTTGATGAAAGGTTGCTGTAAACCACCAGGTTCCCTTCGTTCAGTCGTTCCTCCCGGGTTTCGGCACCAATGTAGGAACCTCTGGTAGTCGTCGATGGTCACGTTCAAGCAAACTTTTATTGACACTATTTACAAGCTGTAAGCGATGCAATCTGACGTTTCGTTCCCATGTTGATTCGACGCACGTGCTCTCAATCCTCTCTTTTAAACTTCGTCGTCTTCGATCTCCTCGCGCCAGAGATATGCCTTATTACGAACCACTTAAACATTTCAACATAAACGTCATGAGAGCGTTGGAACTTGGAGAGTAATTAGAAAAAAAACTTAAATGCGGAAGAGAGTGTGAGGAAGATACAAAATAAAAAAAAAAATGAAAGCCGTTAACAACTTCCTGTAACGCCGGATTAGAGTGCAGCTCTTGAGGAGGAAGAGGGAAGTTTACTGAGGGGAAGGTATATCCGTCCTCCCTCCTCCTCACCTCCTAAACCTCTCTGCTACACCTCCCTCCGAGTAACGTTGCCGTTGTCTCACAAGGGTCACGTGACCTCACAGGGGTCAGGGGGTCACGTGACCCCTTTGATGTCATGTGACGATGACGGTGACGTAATCAGTGACGTCACTGATTACGTCATCAGTGACGATTCCGATGACGTCATCAGTGATGTCACTGATGACGTCGTTAAGAATAATGACGATGACGATGCGGATGACGTCATCAGTGACGATGCCAATGCCGTCCTCAGTGGCGTCACTGATGACGTCATCAGAGATGATCACGATGACTATGCCGATGACGACACTAATTACGTGTCATCAATGATGTCACGGGTCCCATAATGCACCGCGCGGTTACGCCAACGACGACGGCGACGCTAGCGCCGACGGCAACGGCAACGCCGCTAAAGCCGGAAACGGGCGCCTTAGAGCTGCGCTATAACATACAGCAAACTCCTAAGATATACACTTAATAAATAATCAACCGCGTTAAATCTTTCGTAAAGGGTTCAATCGGGAGTGTTTTGAAGCAAGATGTATAGAGAAGAAGCCTCATGTTAGAAGCTAGGCACATCTGGATACTAATTTAGCTTCAATTTTTATTGTTCATCGCCCGGGGGCAGAACGCAGCGTGGGATGGCTTACAAAAACAATATTACTTCTAGTAGAGTACTGAATGTCCTGACCTTTGGTGACGAAAGATAATATTCGAACATTTATGCACGTATCGCGGGCACCCAATCTACGCTTTGCAAGGGCCAACTTAGATTTATTACTGTAAACATTATTCCCTCGATAGGCTGAGGTTAACAAAACTGTTACGTTCCCATATTTATCTTACGCATCTTCAGCGCAATCTTTTCGACAGCCGGTCGGGATGCGCCAATGAAACACCGAAATAATACTTTTCCTGATATGATTTGAGTTTTACTTTTACATTAATTGAATGAAAACTTACAGAACATTATGTTTGCCCACCTATAGCAGTGCAGTGTGTAGTCATGTCGGTAACCGACTCCTTTGGAGAGAGCTACCCCAAATGTAAAACTATGTTTTGCCAAAAACTAAAAGAAAAAAACTATACTTCGTTTTACCTTAAAGAAGCACTGACCCTAGAATAATTTTTTGTCTACCTGGCTAGGACAGGCATGTTTCATAAATAACGTTTGTTGAAAAAGAAACGAAGAAAAACATTCTTTTCTAATATTAATCTTACAACACGGATTTTCCGCTTTTTTGTGGCTGAAACCAAAACTATACCCCTGTGGGATGATGATGGTGGTGTTTGCACCGCCCTAGTGTGTGCTTCGAGTTCGCTGAATCTCAGTATTGCCTCTGAGCGCACTCTAGTTGGGTACAAAAGCTATCATCATCATCTCACAGGGGTACAGTTTTCGTTTCGCCGGCAAAGTGAAAATTTCGTACTGTAACGTAAATATTTCGCAAAGCATATTTTTTTTACAAAAATTATTTTTAGACATGGCTGTCCTAACCAGGTAGAAAATTTTACTTTTCCAAGTTCAGTGCTTTTTTTAAGGTTCAGACGCAGGCGACACTACGAGCTGAAGGGACGAATCAGACAGCGTGAAAAGCGCACGATCATGGTGTTTCTGTACGTGCTCTTTTTTCGCTTTTCCAATCATAAACAAAATTCCCAATGACTTGCATTTTTTACGATGCTCGATTGGTCCTATTAGCTCGTGGCGTTGGCTACGTCCGCACTTGGATAGAAAAAGGTGCAGATCAGAACGCGTTTTTAGTGCAACTTGTAACGTTCTGCAGCATTTGAGGCCTTCATACCGAGATCCCTATTTTGCTATTTTCATATTGGCTAAAGGCGGGAACACATTTGCGAAAAAACGAACCGAAAATCGGAGAGAAATCGGAGGCTGCGAAAATCGTAGCTTGCGATTTTCGGAAGACGAGCCACATGAGCTGGAATGCGCGGCGCGGAAATCGCAATGCACTGCAATTTTTGTGCTCCGACTTCAGGAGGCTGTGCGGTAGTCTGGCGAACTGGCGAACTGGCGTCCCATATTTCGCGCCTCTTAAAAACTTAAGCTATTAAAACCTCGTTGAATGCTACGCGAGCCTTTGTATCACCACCTTTTGGTAGAGACAGGAGGGGTTTTCTACGAAGGTTGAGACGAGAACGCAGGGATGGCATACGATGTTGCCTGCGCTGCTTCCGAAGCTGCGTGAGCCGCCATGTTGCGAGCCAATCGTATCTTTTCGTTCCGCCCTGTTCCGGGCTTTCGCTCACCGAGCTCCTCCGCCCCGAATTCGGAGGCGCCGTGCGAAAATATCTGGCGCTGCAGATCTTTCGAACCGCTCCCGATTTTCGGAAAAGGGGAGGAGCCTAGCTGCCGTGCGATTTTCGTGTGCGGTTTTCGCACAAAATTCGGCTTTTTTTCGCAAATGTGTTCCCAGCTTAAGAGCGACAGTTAGATCTACAGAACCCTCAGTGAAACCGCTACCGATTCTGCGACTGTGTCGAAAGGTACGTCGTACGTATCCGGAACGCGGAGTCTAAAGGTACGTCAGACGTACCCGAAACAAGGAGTCTAAAGAGCTTTCTATACTCCGTCGTAACGTTACCGACCGCACGCGCTCGTTCACACACGAAGCGTGAACGAGCGCGTAGTTCGTCCGTCGAACCTGCGAAGCAGCTAGGTTCAACGGAAGCAATATCGGGCCTTTTTTTCGCTTTTGCTTTTGTTGACAATTGTGTGACATATAAGAGAAAATAAATGCGGGTTTGCACTCGTTATTCCTATCATTTGCTTGTTTTTTGAACTGCTAACCGCTACCCCGAATGGTTGATTTGAAGCGTGACATGACAACATGAGTACGAACCACACTGACCGATTGTATCTAGGCTAGGTGGCGCATACTAGCGCCCATCGATAACGCACAGAAACGAAGTGGTTGCCACGGAGACACGCATGCGCAACGTGGGGGAGTTCGTCCGGGCACGCTGAACCAGCGTTGGTCTACGCTAGACTGTAAACCCCATCGTTCGGGCTCTTCTCAGCGCTGTGTAGTGGCCGACGAAAGTTGGTCTGCGCCGCCGCGTGTTGTGTTCGTCGACGTTTGTGTATAAAAAGCCCTTAAAGTACGTCGGACGTATCCGAAACGAGAAGTATAAAGGTACGTTGGACGTATCCTGAACAAGGAGCCTAAAGATACATTAGACATACCCGAAACCCGGAGCCTTCAAATACATGTTGGACGTGCGCGGAACCGGAAGATGCGTCGTACGTAGCCGCGATGGGGAAGAGTCGTATCACAGCGGGTCATACCGTGCCTTACTGAGGCCCCACTGACAATTTTCATGCCATCTTTATTTCTTATTGCTACTGTAATTAGTCCATTCTAAGATCTTCTTTCTTTACACACCCGCGATGTTCACGGCGGAGGGCGGGGGGGGGGGGGGGGAGGTTTGCGGGTGTTTTTATTGTGCAATTTGTGGAAGAAATATCAATGTATTATAGAAAATTTATAAGATAAATGCCACAAAAAACTAATTCAATCCTGGAGAGAATTAGCCTGCTCTCCGTCAATTCTCACCGCGCATCATGATCAACCAGTTGCTCTCACTACGACTCGACGAGTTCTTAGTGGCCCCATCCAGTTAGCTGCATACAAGCTCACGGATATTCTTCTCGAGTTCCTGATGTCGTCTTTTGCATTATTGTGTGGTCCCGTTCACAATTTACGGGTCACGGCACCCTTGAATACCTACCCCCGCTGTCTTCTCTACCGTATCACAAGGTATCGCAGATGCTCTGCAGTGCCGTGGTTCCCGTTGTCTTTAGCGTACATTATCACCCTTCGCTCTAACTTCACTGTGTACAAAGTCCTCTTCG